CCTTTTATACTGTAGGGTAATTATGGGTCGAAAACGGGAAGAAATCGCATAAGAATCTTAATTCCCGTTGGTGTGTCTGCGCGTCACACGACTCGTGTCACATGCCACACGAGTCGTGTGACATTTACTCACACGACTGGTCACACGACCGGGCCACACGACCTGTGTCACTATGACGCACGACCTGTGTCACCATACATACAACTCGTGTGAAAATGCCGTAACTAAAAGTTCATTTTTTCTCACTCACGCGACTCGTATCACTGCCCACACGAGTTGTGTGTCCTCATCAGCACCTGATTTTTGAATTTATAATGACCATTGATGTAATTGATCCAATGGTTCATGATCATTCTTATTTCTTTCACTATCTACCATTCTCATATGATCCCTTCTCCTTTTACATAAGATTTCATAAATTTAGTTCTTACATCTTTTTTTAATTGTTTCGGGACGCATCAGCCCCTAGGTGCTCGACTAAAAAATTTCAAGAACTTAATTTCAGCTCCTTGAAGGTCGTATTTATTTGATCAGACTGAAATAAAAGAGATTGTCGATCCAAGCTATCTATGATTCATGTTGTCCTTCAAAAACTTCAACGGGCTTTGCGATCCCGAACGCATTAATTCGACAATTAATGACAATTGCTTAATATTCTTTCAATTTTTTATATTATTTTTATTTTTGTAGACATTATTTGGCGAATTATTTTGTACCAATATGTTCAAACAACAATATCAAAATTCAAGAGGAGTTGAGAAAAAGGTTTATAGATGTCCTCCTCGAAGGTGTTGAGTAAGTTCAATTATGTATTTTGTTTTTCATTTGATTCATCATTACTAATTAATTGTTAACTTTAAAATTTTACAGTGGCTGTCAATTAACGTGCACGTCGTGAGAAGGCTATGTAGACATCTTACTTGATGCCTGCAATAATTTATCACCACATGGTTTGCGGGTTGTTGTCATACAAATGTACCGAGCAAAGTCTTTTGCTAATGGTAATTTTTTTTTATTAACCATAATGAATTGTATATAGTTAATTGACGACATTTATCAAGAAAATCTTTTTTTAGTTGACTAAAATTTCTTAATGCCTTCCTTGATTTAGGATCAATAAGAATGGACATCACATATGATGCAACCAAGATGATAGCATCAAATGATCTCCCCGAGATATTTGATTTCAAAGAAAGGTACTTAATTCTTAAATTTTTAAATATGTTAACTCGCTAAGAGTTTTTAAGCATATATGTCAACTTACAGTCTTCAAGCCTATACGTTAAGTCGATAAGATTATTATTCTTAGGCTCACAATCATACCATCAGATTTGAGAGTACCTTTCAACGCAAGCAGTTTCCGCTTATGGTTTTCTAAGGACAGTCTCTATCGCATATCGGCTTACTACTTAAAAACCCTGTATTAAGTCGTTGACAATTATACGTGACGCTTTCCAGAGGTATGAGTCGGAGGGTTTAACGATAAAGATTTGTGGTGATGAAAATTATGACGATAGAAAAATCACGAACATTGTATATAAAAATTGTTTAATAATATTTAAATTTTATTTCTTAAAACTCTTTTTCAATGATTATATTACAATTTTTACTAGTGTTTATATGTATATATATATATATATATATATATAGGGATGCGCTCCGGTGAGAATGGTGCTCAATGAAAGAAATAAGAATACACCGTATCCATTGGATAAAATCATCTAACGGCAAAAAAATGAATCCAGAATATACATTAACAAAGGATATAATAGTCAATCTCTACTACCAGACACATCACGTGGCCCATACCCCTCTCCCTCCAATTCTATTCTCTCTCACACACTACCATTCTATCTCTCACACGCATCTCCTTCTTCACGCGTTCCTCCCCCAAATCTCTCTCTCTCTCTCTCTCGAAGGTCTTATCCAGTCAGCCACACACAGCCCGCCTCTACTCACCACCCCTGCTCCGTCGCCGCCGACGACATAACACTCCGGCAGCCTTGATGTTTTATTCGATCAAGTGGAGGGCGTCAATGACAAGATCGGCGGCCTGAAGACCATCCACAACCGCCTCTTCTCCTCCCAACTTCAACACCTCCAGGGGCGGAGGCACGTTGATTGCTACCCGAGCTTTAGCCCGGGTAGACTTTTTGGGAGCATGTATATATATATATATAATATATATATTATATACTTAAAAAAATATATAATTTAAATTGTATATATATACTTAAACTTATATAATCTTAATCATATATATATATATATATATATATATATATATATATATATATATATANNNGATGCGACCTGATATAATAATCTGTATTTTATGGATAATTCTGTGTACCGAACTTAAAAGGACTGTAAATGAACATTAATGGAGATAAGAAGAGAAAGAAAATAAGTGGGGAGGGAGAAAGCAGTAACAAAAAGGAGAGAGAATAATTAAATAATATCTGCTTGCATTTCACCTTGTTTCTCGTCACTTAAATAGTGCACATGGGCACTAGGGACCACATCAATTCTCACATTACATCAGCAAAGATACCCTACAAATGGTGGGATTTTGTCCGCATAGCCTCCCCTACAAAACTTTTTGTTTAAATAACCCACTAAGTCAACAGCCCTTTTTAAACCTTTTAAAATGTAATAAGAAATGGTATTAAAAACCAAGTTACTATTATACCCCCTTCTTAAAGAGTTGTGTTTGTTCCCTTTCTTCTTCTAACTTCTTCAATTTTATCGCTCTCTCTTCTCTCTCGGCTGTTCTTCTCTTCTCTCTCGGCTCTCTCGGCTCTCTTCTCTCTCGCTCTCTCGGCT